CTGATGACCGATATTTGTTGTTATGCGCACGAAGGAAGAGATCTTACACTCAGCTCAGATTCTTTCTTACTTCAGCCACTTGAAGGTTGATGTCAATATCAATCGTGCATAGAAGGCTTTAAGAAAGAAGGAGGTCTGTAAGCCAGGCGACCAGCCATTTGCGTGCCACACACGTCAAGTCATAAAAGAGAACGTTTGATGTGGGCACGTCAACATGTCCACTGGACAGCTGATCAATAAAGCGCTGTTCTCTTTACGGATGAGTACAGGTTTAGCCTGCGATAGCAAAGCGACAGTAGGCGTTATTGTATTTGAAGAGAACCTGGAACTCGTTATTATCTATGAAAAAGATGCATACGGAGGTGGCAATGTGTGTATTTGGGGTGGTATCAATTTGGGTGAACGCACAAACATTCATGTCTTTCTACGGGAACCATGAATGCTCAGGCCTATAGAGATGACATCCTTGATGCTTATATGCGCCCTTATGCCGAGCCAATAGGTGATAATTACCTGCAACAGGACGACACGACCGCACAGGCTCGCATCGCATTGATTATCTTCAGTAGCAAAGAATTCAGCGCATGGACTGGCCAGCTCGATCACTGCACCTGAATCCCATCGAACCTGTTTGGGATGCTTTAGAAGACGTATAGTTGCTCCCAATCCTCATATTCAGACCCTTGCCACGCTTGCAACTGCTTTGCAAAGGCAAAAGTTCTCACTTCCTATGGAACTGATAGACTGCTTAATCGACAGCATCGCACATTGCTGTACGTTTTGTATTGGTTCTAAGGAAGATCATACTCCATACTGAAGGCAATTTTCCTATATCAAACTGCCACATTAGATTTGTTCATTTTATACATATGCTTCTATAACACCATAATTGTCTGGTAATCTTTTCACGTTATTTTATACCTTAACAAGTGTTGTATACTGTGGGTCACTTTCATTAAATTATAATGTTACTTTTTGAGTAATAGTTATTTTTATAATATTTCTTTAATTAATGATAACCAATGTGTATATATATATTTAAGATATATACATGTATATATAAAAAAGGTTATATAACTATAAAATTTAAAAAAAATATAACTGTTATGCATCCTACTAAGCCGACGCCGTTCTCGCTCTGTATTTTGACTATCATTTTGAAATAAAGATCACTTATTGCTGCTTGCTGTCTCTGTCCTTTCCAAATTTCATCACTTTCTGACCACTCCTTCTTGGTGTTGCATTTTTAATGTCGAGCAGTGTATTTTACTTTAAATAGAATATTGATATCATGATGATTTACAGGTTTAAATTAAAGAGCTCTTTGTAATTTTGTGGTGGTCCTTATTCACGAATCCTCGAAGATCATGCACGCTTTATGTATTTTTGTGACTTTATTAGATTTGCCTTTCAAATGCGTTAAAAAAGGTTGAGTCAACTTGCAAACAGCCAGCGACACTGCAGGTCATGAATGTTACCTTTATAATAGTCAGCAAATAAATAGTTCGCCAAAATCGCCCAGTTTTTAATCCCATCTAAAACATTAACCCAAATCATTGCATACTAGCTTAAAAAGACCATATTATAAAATTAAAAATTCCTGTTACTAAGCAAACATAAGTAAACGTTGGGTGTTTTATAGACGGCATAACGATTATTACACAAATACTTTTAAGTTTCATAAGGATAAAACTTTGAAAAACTGTTTACTGACTAAAATTATTTAATTTTTATATTTCGAATATGAAGCTCACGCGAGAAATAGTACAATCACAGAAGGCTCTGGGTTGAGTTTTTAAGCACCTAACAAAAAAATATTTAAAATGATATGCGAAAATGGTCCTTTGAAAGGGTACTATGAATATTTTTGTTCACAGAAAAGATTAATTTTATTTGAACAAACAAACGAACAAAAAACATGATTTTTGGCAAAAGCGATTTTAAAAATTGCAAGTAACAGCGCAACTTAATCTCTTTGTAGAAAATTTTTTGTAGAATACTACCACCGAAGTCAGAAAAGGTTTCTTTAGTGAACTTTCATCAGACAGCTAAAATGTTGTTATACGCAGGTATTATTACCACAATTATTCTAATTATAGTCATTAAACGCAAAATTTATTAAAGGTTTCTCTAAAATCGCAAGATCTAAAAGAAGAAAAACAGTTTTCGTGGACTGATGAGCGTGAAGAAGCATTTAGAACACTGAAAGTAGCTAGCATAAGTGCACACTCGCTTATCCCCAGCTTGCATGTAACTTTATTTTAAATAGAAGTCAGCAATAAAGGAAATGCAGTTGCTCTTTTACAATAATATGACGATCAAGAGGACGCCATTGCTGTTTTAAATAAAAGCTCCTCAAAGCTGAAAAGAAATTACTGTGTCACCACAAAAGATCTGTTTACAATTAAAAAGGCAGTAAATACTTTAATCATTATTTTCATAGCCGCAAACTGCTGCTGCTCATCGACTATGCTTCATTAAGTAGGCTTAGTTCCAAAAACCCAGACATTCAAGAGGATAAATGCTACAAGAATATGACATCAAAATTCGACCTAGCAAAGGAAGTTCGCACGGGAATGCTAATGCATTCCAAGACTTCGCGTAGAAAACGGCAAATACTGTTCGAAAGCAGAGGGAAAATATATCTTTCAGTAATTAACACGGACTCCATAGCATCAGAGACTGGTCCCTGCAGCAGCGAAGAACAGAGAATTGTCTAGATGAGAGACCCTGCACTAAGCCCATTAATGAAATTAATAGAAACAACAAATTTGAAGTCCAGTCGGCAAGAAATGGTACCCATGAGTCCAAAGACGCAAAGGTGGCTTTGTGGGATTCTTTACACTTACGACGACTATGGGAAACTGATTAAAGAGTTTCAAATGATAGTTCATGTTATCGCGATTTCGAGTAAGTGTTCTGCCAGAGCTTTAAATTAGGCCCACTAAAGGTCATTTTGGTGTAACAAAGATATTTCATAAAGTTTGCGAACAATTTCTTTTTTGGATAAATCCAAAGCAGATGTATAAAAGTCATGCAAATCCTATGATGCCTCTGGAGCTCAAAAAGATCCACAAACACGAACACGAGGAAGCTTACCGTGCTGCAGTGTAGGAGTACCATTCAAAAGGATTGCTCTGGATATTCTCGAACTTTCACTTCGTACAACTAAAGGTAACAGTATATCTATCCTAGCTGTAATGGTATTTAGTATATGGCCAGGAGCTTATGTCATTCCTGATCAAGAAGTTTCAACCGTCCTAGTAGAACACTGGGTTTCCCAACTTGGTATGCCTTTTCTTATTCACTGGACCAATGAAAAAACTTCACATACTATATGTAAAAGACTATAATATGTAGAATCCTCCGGGTGGGAAACCACTCCTTTACATCCGCAGTCGGATGGCATAGCAAAGTGCCGTTCACGAGAATACTGGATTTTCTCCATCGCGAATGGTTTTTAGCCATGATATTCGTCTATTGTGTGACCTTGCTCTTCGAAAGACGGCCAGACACGTTTTCTTCCCCTGAGCCGTACCTGTACGATCTGCAGGCGGGTTTAAAAGACGTTCATCCGTTCGCTTTGTTCATCAGTTCACCACGGAATGCTCCTCGAAAGACTGCCCGACACACATCCTTCCCCTTAGAAGTATTTGAAAAATCTGCAGACCCATTTAAAAGACATTCATCGCTTCAACAGGGAAAGAATCAACACAACGACTGGAAGGATGAGATGCAATGCCAAGTCGATGGTGAAGGAATTTACGGTAGGATATCAAATCTAGTTGTGAAATCCCCAAGCGTCGTTGGGGGATATTATCCAAAATGCAGATATCCTAGGAAAAGACTTTCCGCTTAATCAAGAAACTGAACGACGTAATGCTGCGATCCAAAGAACTCCTCTACTAAACCTAAAGTCGTGCACCGCGGTAGACTTGGATCTTACTTTGGCTAGAGGGTTTAGTTCTCCTTCGTCTTGGAGATTTCACTACTTGGAACGTACAGTCATTTAGGAGAGACAGATATTGTTCATTTATGTAAACATTTAAATTAATTAAACTGCATAATTATCTCTATGCTGTTGCTGTAACATTGTGCAATTTTTTTAGGTATTTGTTACTTTTCGGGTGATAGCTTTAGGATTTATTTTCCATATAGCTAAATTGTCTCCACAAGTTTTGCATATTAGGGTTTATTTCATATATAGAATTAAAGATATGTCACTTCCAATAACGTTTGAATTATAAAAACATCTCAACCAAAATATAAGATATCGGCAAAAAACTAAATTTGGTGATTTTTCGCCAACCCGATGACCTTTTGGAAGATTCAGAAAAATGTCCTCTTGAAGCCCTACGAACAAGTTTTCCCCAAATTTCTAAACCCTGTACTACACTATATAAATAGGTTTTCTCAGAGCTAGGATGAGTTAGTTGTTAATCAGCTGTGACAGTAACGATTCAAACAGAGTTTGATGAATTACATTTTAAAATTACGGTTCCTCTGCTAGTGATTTTGGGAATTTAAGCTATTTGATGGGCACTAAGGGGGGGGGACTGCTCAGTATCCACGTTCTCCTTGACCTGCTTACAGCTACTTATTTTGCTGCGAGTCATTATTTTTTATAATAAATTGCCAATTTCTTCTTGCTCCTATAGAGCGATTAATCAAAGAGACAAACAAAGCAAACCACGTTTTTACTTTGTGTGATTCGCTGGGATCAAAAGATCTTCATAATTCGAAGTGAAAACAGCTGTTATAAAGAAAATATTCGCGCTGGTGAGAATATGTATTAGATGAAGTTATATAAATTTCACTATGTTATTAAAAGTCCAGAATGCGAATCTACTCTTATTTATTCCATTGTAATTGTAAAATTCCAGTATAATTGAAAAAGTCTACTAAAGCAGTTCTGCAGTTTTGTAATCAATGTAATCATACTTTTTATTCTATTAACAGTTTTTTAAATCAATTTTGTGAAATGCAGTAAGAGTCTAAAATAAGTAATAAAATATAGAAAGGGTTTATTCAATGGAAAATGAGGTGGTGCGAATATAAAAATACTAAGAACACAACGAAAATAACTACTACACAGAAATTCAAAGTAATACACAATTATGAAGCAAGGAAGTTGAATGTTTTGGACTTAACACCGCTCGTATAGCTTCTTCAAATACCTAAAGGAAAAAAATTCGAATTAGTCTTTAAAATGATGTATCATAAATAATTCATAAGCAAAACAAGCATACTGTTCACGCAGAATTTTTATCTGTAAGCGAAAGATCTCCTAATCACTAGACTAAAGAAATACATCTCTAAAAGCACACAGATCACAAGAATTGTTCAATGGTTTATATAGAACATCATAATGAATCATAATAAAATCCTATATTAAGCTGCTTGCTCCATATAACTATTAGAAATTTCCTTAAGGTAAATTTCTGGCGCATTTTTATGGCAATGTCACATGTAGGCTTTCTTCAGTTCTATCATTTTCTCCCCTTTTACAGTTAAACACTGGAGGTTTGCACATTTAACTGCTATTAAGATATTACTGCAAGTATTTAGATATAGATGCACAGCAAAATGTAGCGAGGAATCACAAGTCAGAATTCTCACAGTTCGCGTTTGCGTAGTCAAAGGATTCAGTTGGTTGCTACCAAGAGACTACGGACCGCAGGCTAAATCCAGCCCGCTAGTGTCATCAATCCAGCCCGCGACGACAAATGGCTTAACTGTTCTTATTATTGCTGTGATAAGTTAGATAAAAAACACAGAATAACAATTCGGTTTTATTTACTTGCTAAGTAAAGTTTAATGACAAGTGTCCACTCGTAAAAATAATGTACTAATGAGAATTACGTAATTGTAATTTTCCACAAACAACAGTTTGTAGTTGTGTATCAATTATTAAAAAAAAAACTTAAAATGCTCATCGGTTAGAACTGTAACATTCTTTGTGTACTTCAATTTGGAGAATGTTTTCTCATACAAGTAAGTAGTACGAAAAGCAAAAAAAAACCCCCCACGAGTAAATTTATGCAAATTATCAAATTGTACCACTGGAAGACTCTTATAAAATTAGAATAAAGATGAGTTTTGATATTTGTTCCTAATTATATTTATAATTACACTGTAAATCAACAATTTCCATTTGAAGTTTCGGGCTAGGGTTTCAATGTCAGTATCAAACGGATTTTGAAAAATCTTAATTTCATTCGTAGTGACATCAAAGTCTGGGAAACGAGTATAAAAATTTATCTTCAAAGCACTCAAAACTTCGATTGCAAAATTGACAGAAAATTCAGTCTCAGTAGTCTAGCTGAATATTTCACATGCTTTAAAATGTGCGAATTGTTTTTTACATATTTATAATTAAAACACTATTATGTTCTGCTGAAACGATTTGATATTAGGGTATAAATCAGGGTAAAGCTGGTCTTTTCCTTGCAATCTCAAATTCAGTTCGTTCATATGTTTTGCCAAATCGGCACAGAATGCTAACTTAAACAGCCATTCGCTATTCTTAGAATTCGGTAAGAAAACGATGCTTTCGATTCGGTAAGAGGGTGACGCATTAAAAAAAATTCGATTATTGCTCGAACTTAAAAAAAGCTTTGAAGGACTTTTCCGCAACTAAGCCAGCGTACGGCAGTATTATGTAGTAGGTCATTTTCTCCAACCTCTTCAATAAACTCGCGGAATTGTTGGTGATTCAGCCCAGCGGATCTGGAAATTAACAAATGATATGACTGGTTTTAGAAGTTCAGACATATCCAGACTTTTCCCACACAAGGACTGTTGATGAAGGATACAATGTACGACTAATGGTTTTGAATCACCATCACTTTCTATAGCCTTTTGACACTAGAGCAACGACTTCTTTATTTTTACCACACGTTTCTGCCTTCATTAGTTGTAATAGATTTCAAGTTTTTTCATCGAAGGTATTTTTTTTTAATTAATGGCATTTTCCACTCCTTAATATCTTCCCCAGTAGTCATGCTGTGAATACAATCAAGTTCTTCATACACTTCATAACTTTTATCTAACCCTCGAATAAAAATCCACACCTGAGCAGTACCTGACACATCCGTGGACTCATCCAAGTACCGAGAAAACCACTCAAGATGTCTATTTGTGTCAGACAGTTTTGAATAAATTTACCTTTTCGGGGCACATTTCTTCGGGTCCGCCGAAAACATCGCAGAGAAAACAACGCAAGGCGAAAACGTCGTGTTACAAAACATCCTGGGATAAAATAAAGCAAATAGAAAACATCGCAGTTCTAAAACATCGAGGTACAAAACAGGTCGTCGAAAATAAGGCGGTTCAAAATCTTCGCAGTTTAAAAACATCATCGTCGAAAATATAATGCTAAAAAAATAATCATCGACAAATCATCGATGACGATAACATCGCAGGCATGCATTTTTCAGGCTTTAATAAATGTAAAATTAAATAATTGTTTAATAATTGTAAAAACTCGCATAGTGATTTTTGAGCCCAAGATGGAAAGAAGGATAATTTTTACTTTCATAATTTTTTATTAACTAATAAATATTTGCTGAAAATGTGAAATAGAAACTTAAGCACAGAAAATTAATGCAACTTATAGCACTGAATAGAATTTTAAACTGACACATCATTAACTAACAAAGGTCATCAATAAATTATTTTTTATAAAGTTTAATTGGTAATTTTTCATGAAAAGTACAACTAAAAAAGAATAGAAAAAGAACGATAAGTAACTGTATGACCTTATTTATAAAAAATAGCTACGTTAATTACGAGATTATTTTCTTCACTTTTGTTAATCTGATACTCTGACAGTGAAAATTATTACTTATTTTGTTTAAATTTCTTGTTTTTTAAAAAATTATTAGTTAATACAAAATACGCAAGTAAAAATTGTCCTTCTTTCCATCTTGCGTTCACAAATCATCATGCGAATATCCATTTACAACTATTAAAGCCTGAAAAACGTATGTCTGTGATGATAATTAGATTGATTTATTTTTTTACCACGATATTTTCGACGACGATGTTTTTAAACTGCGAAAGTTTTTGAACCGCTTTATTTTCGATTGCGATATTTTGTACCACGATGTTTTAGAACTGCGATGTTTTCTCTTTGCTTTATTTTCTCCCGCGATGTTTTGTACCACTACGTTTCCGCTTTGCGTTGTTTTCACCGCGATGTTTTCGGCTGTAACCCATTTCTTCGGCTACTGCAATTACGCATTCTTTGATCATTCTCCATCGGTGAATGATTTTCCAAGTTTTGCGATTTCAAGAACCACACGAAAGGTGGCACGCACGAGTCGCTGTCTCTTGCTCAGTACTGACTTTTATAAACAAATGTTGCTGCGAGTACTCTCCGTGCTTCAAATGTCCGCAAACTTCCTGTATATTTTAAGTAATTTCGAAAATGTTTCGTTTCATAATGACGTTTAATGTTATATACTTTGAGATGGCAAATCATCGCAAATCAAACATAGCGGTTTCATCGCAAATCAAAGATAGCGCCTTATTACTGGATTGAATCGCGAAATATATAAAGTTCCATTGATCTTTGAATGTTCCGCATTCATTATCTATTTTTCGCTTCTTTTCCATATTAGTACATCACACACATACACAAAAGTCAAATCAAAATTATCTTACGTATCGGCGGTTCGAAGATGTCTTTTAAACGGGGTTATGCACTACTTTTATTTCGCAGCAGACTGTTTACCTTCTTTCGCCTTACCTAGAATGTTTGTTATACTATGCTTTCGAAAGGACAACTAGCGCTATCTATTAGCAGTTAGAGTACTACCGATTTCCGCTTTTGACCACCAGATGTCCAGTAAAATAAAACGGTTTTGGCCCTTAGAACTTACTCGAGTAATGAGCATGGCCCTAAGTCTGGGATGTTTGGAGACCCCTGTTCTAGACGAACAAACAAGTTGATAAGAATTTTAGTTTAGTACGCTCCCACTTTCCAACTTTCCATTGCCCCCACTTTCCCCCTGCAAAGAGCAGCGAAATATGCAAAATTATAATTCAATTTTGTTTATAACCACAAACTGTCCACCTCAATAAATAATTACTTTGATTTCACTTGTTTGAGATCCTCTTGGGTTCCTTCAAGTGATGCTGAGTTTTATGAACAACAGGCTGACGCAATTAAAGTCTGCATGTTTACAGCGTTCTGTAACTGCAACCGGCAAACACAACACAGATATACATAATTCAGAGGTTGTATCCAGGTACCTGAGGTCTGAGAAAAGAGAGACGAAAGTGTTGGTCCATCTCGGGTGATACATTTTTCGGGTGGAACTTTTCGTGGGACATGATTTTATCCTTGAACAATTCTTTTAGTTATACTATGTTATAATTTTTAGTTAAATAAAAATTCGTTTTTAATAATTATTATTACAACTATAATAATTATAACAGCTACTTTTTTCTGCACAATGCATTTCAAACTACTAAAGCACTGGAACATATTGCTTTCACACAGACAAAACTGAAGTTTTATCACCTAAAACGCATGATTCATTAAAAATGTTTTAAAATCTATTATATTTTGGCATCTAGCGGATCATTATCAAAACCCATGAAAAAGTGCTTATGCATGATTAATCCAGTTCAACCACCAGTTTATCCAATTTTAATAGGTTATGCTTTACATGCTAAAACCCTATTGTCCAACATAGCCGTCCCGAGTTACATGTAGCGCATGAACATTTGAAATGCCACTACTGGTTCAGGATGTGTTTTAAATTTAATTTTTAGCTAGTTGAATTGATAAAAAGTAAATGCTTTTTGTATTTGAAATTCTGATTTTTAAAATCTTTTATGTCCTTTTTGCATGAAATGTTGCTAATTTTTAGATCTCTTAGATGCTCATAAATACATGGTCCTTCCTTTTGATAATTTTTGTTCGCATTATTAGCACTGAAATACAAAACCTTTTGACAGAGATAATTAAATACTGGAACATCTTTACAGTTACTTTCAGGTTTTCAAAAAAGGAAAAAGAACTTTGGCCAATATACTGGAAAAGGCTACAGTTTTAATCTACAAATTACCCATTATATTGGTCATCCCGGATCCAAATGATTCCCGTGTTTTAACCAAAATCTCAGACCCATATACAAGTACATACTTGTACCAATGTAAATTCTTTCCATCAACGCATGTGCGGTCTTAGAATTACTCATGAGTACACGAGCAAATAAATCAGTCACATAATTTCATTGGCTATAGCCAAAGTTTCCAGCAATCTCCAGCATATGCCGTCACGGTCTATTAGTGCGACTACTCACACAGGCACTGAAGACATGGATTGACACGCCGATGACACGTTTCCCTGAGTAGACGGACTAGTTCAGAGATAATTGTTTGTATCTAAGCCATAGGTAACAATATCATGTGTTAATTTCTTCAACTTTTTTTTAAAATAAATGGTTCCATTAGTACGAAAATGTAAAGATTTCGTTTTACTCCAGAAATACACACAAACTTTCATCACATTTAGCTAGTGCTTTCTGGATGTCCCCCACTCCTTTTTTGATCAAAGAATGTATATGCACATAAAATAGCCAATTAAAAAATTCCTTAATTTTATGATCATACATATATATACATAAAATAACTTGTGGTTTATAGAGAATGATCAATTCTGAATAAAACACTTCACTTCAGTTGAAATTTATGTATGTATAACAAGATAGGAAAGAAAACCTACTTCTTTTACTCCACTGGCTTCTTTAGCAGAGCATTCAACGTACTTTGCGGCTTTGATTTTGGCAGCCATCTTCTTCCCTTGAGTTTTGCTAATAAAGTTTTCTTTTGATTGATTGTCTGCACTGTCCCTCAAATCTGTTTTTGTACCTTTCAAAAGAAACAAAAATTACAAAACTAATAAAACATTACAGAACATAAGTAATGTATATTATATCACCATAAATATAAATCATAATTTTAATCAATTTTATATTATGCCTTAAAATCTGTTAAGATACTCTTCTCACATTGTATTGCGTACTTATTTTTGAAATAACTAAAAATGTCCTCACTTTTTAATCTGCCCAGCCAACAACTTATCTCTTTGAAGTATTATTCATATAAAATAAATGCTTTGAGCGCCTTTCTCTCACAAGACGTTCAAAAAAATTGCAGCACTAATTGTGTCTTAATGAATGACTGTAGATCATAGATTGGAATACAAGAAATGATCAAATATATATTCTTAAATAAAAATAAATCAAAAAAAGTACGCTTTCAGACTTGCGGCAGTTTTGATCACGTTTTAAAAAAATCTGATGTGTACACCACATGACTTCCTTGTACGGAATATTAAATTATACGCATTTTTTCTTGCATTTCATTTAAACTTATTGGATTGAATTAAATCTACTTCGCCGACAGCGCATAAACCACAATAGAATAAATGCATTCTTTAAAATTCACTCTAGTATTTGTTTACCATAGCGACACTCTGGCGCTAGATTCACTTAACAGTATTAATAATTATATAACAGTTAACTTATATAATAATCATATAACGGAAACTAAGTTAACTGTTATATAATCCAATAATTATATAACAGTTAACTTATATATTTCGTTCATATTATAACTCATAATGCACAAAATTTGTATCATTTAAAGAATAGAATTATCTAATTGTTGCCACATGTTCTATTCAAATATTGTAATAAAGCTAGAATGATGTATAAAAGAAATTAAGCAAACAAAAAAGAAACAGTTTTTCACAGACGATTGAGTATTTTTTATTTAATTAATTCAGTTCTCACTTCGCGAGAAGGCAAAAATACATAAAAACTCAAAATATCTATATTAAAAATTACGAAGTAAATATTATACACTTATTTCCTCGAAAACATTCCAGAAAGAATTAAGCATGATTTAATTGGCAATAATACATGAATGCGTTATCTTTGTTGTTAGGAAGCTAAGTTTCTCTAGATTGGCACCAAATCCACTAGTCTGCTGTTTCAAATATAAACATCAATGGCCGCCATAAAAAAAACGCTTAGCGCCTCTTAGACAACTTTAAAATTGTTGATAATTCTAAAAACTATTGCGTACAGATTTACTAAAGGCATAAAAACCTTAACCGGAAGATAAAAACAACATAATACCAACGAGATATACCTGTTATATGAAGTCGTTGCATAATACAATCATTTTTAAAGCAAAAAATGTACAATTTACAAACATATAAGAGTAAAGAAACTGAGATCACTGAGCCGGGTAACACAGTAGATATATATATAAATATATTTATATACGTTTGGTGCGGCCGATTGCAACCAAAATACGAGGTGCACATCTACATGTTATAGCAGTCCTATATACAGGCTACTCGTTTTTGAGTTATGCGAGATACGTACGTACATACGTTCGTACAGACGCCACGAAAAATTCTCTTCAGAATTAATTTTAAAGCAGTTTTATAATTTTTTTGAAGGAAAAGAGTATTTTATTCTCCTTACGTGCAGATATCAGGCAAAAACATCGTTAAATTGCATTCGATAGCGGTCAAAATGGATATTTTCGTTGAAATATGCTGCCTGAAACTTTTCGCGATTACAATACTTCCTTTTTACTTCGAACAAGGAAGTAAAAAACAAACGAAAATTAATCTTTTATATGGACCCGCAAAAGAAACCTGTTACCGAATAAAATGTTTTATTCGTCTGAATAGTCAAATAATAAACATTTACCGTAATAGCATCAAAATTATCTGAAATAATATTAATTAAAATTTTGGATGTTCGTATATAAATAGTGTTAAAGGAACAGCTTACAAATAAGCTACAAGTTTTTGAAAGCAATTTTTAAAAGGTATTTTTTTCCGTCAGTAAACATGTACGCACTCCTAAACGCTTCACATTCTCAACCAGAGACATAATCAAATTAGAAAAATTTGTCTAACACAATTCAATTTTTAAGGCTTCAAAACCGACACGACGGTCTGGCTTGTTTATTTCATCCGAAAAAATTTCAATCACATAATTTTGACAATTTTTAAGACCAGTTTGCATACTATGGAACAGAAGTTTTGAAAAGATCTTTAATACAATAAGTAAATTTTTTTATTTGAACTTTTGTCGTAAGACACACTTTTAAAAATTTTAATTTTGTGTCTTTTAATACCATGTGACCGAAACTAGTAATTTTAGGGCTTACCTCATCTAATTCCTTCTTTAAACTACTGATCTACGATATTTGATCCTGCAGTTCTTTGAAACAACCTGTATAACTAACTATGAGCAAACTGATTTAAACAAAGGACTAAATGAACTGAATTATTTGATTATGACAAAGCATAGTGTAGAAGCTTTGTGCTTATGCCTTGGTTAAGCACTTTTCAAAGGACAGGATTGGAATAGTTAAAATGTGACAAAGCATATCAGGACTCTCTGCCATTGAGAAAAGATGTCTTCGGGAAGAATTTTCCACGGAAAACTGGTTCCTATACATGTTAGACATGTGGAAAATCACGAAAACACATATGCAGCCAGCCTGAACGCAGAAATTAAAAGTTAGGTCTAATTATTGGGTTGGACGCTTTTATTCGTTCGACTACTAATGGACAAAGACAACTAAAAGAATTGTTCATAAACTAAAAAGCTATATAATATAATTACCATTGTCGTGGCTCTTAAGAATATTAGAATATTAAAAATTCAAAACCAATGTTCTGCCTCAGTATCAGCGCACATCTTTTTCATAAAGTATTTATAAAATATTCATATTGCAATTAAAATGTTATGCCTGCAGTTCTGTTTCTGAGTCTTCAATACATATGTTTAATGAATAAAAAGAAAGTAATAATAATTTTGAACGTTAGAATTTGCTACAACTGTCTGATTTAATACAAATATGTTCGGTCACGATAAAACGTTGACTGCAATATACAAATATACACGATTGTCTAAATACATTAAAAAGCACCTTTTGGGGTGGCATACACAAGAGCTACCTTTTTTTTTTTTTTTTTTTCTTTCTTTCTTTCTATAAATTAGAGGATAACGCTGGTCATTAAAATCGATATATTATGAAGAAAGCGCATACCAAACCTGAAATTCGCATGAAAGGTAAAACATGCCGGGATAGAAAGGGTTTGCATCTTACGGAAAGGCACATTAGAAGCAAATATAACGATACTTGAAGTAAAATAAGCATATGAATATATCGAGTATAAAGGAGAACTGAAATTCTGACTTTTCATTTGGAAATTACATTTATTTATTTAGGAAGAAGTATATGTGTGCGTGTATTTTCAGCCTTGTGTACGAAAGAAAGACCTCATACCAGCGCATCTCGGAAGTCCATCACGGATGAATCGTAGACTTAGGGATTGCCATATCATGCGATTCCTGCTTCGTCGAAATTCAGTGACTATTATTAGAATTTGTAATGGATGCGTTTAGAATAACCACATTAAACACATAAGACGAAAGCCCCTTCCCCACTCCCCGATAGCCAAGACGACTGATTGTTTGTCCGCAACGCTGTTAGGAATCGTACAGATACATAACGTACCCTCGGTCAGGAAATTGGACATGTTGAGCAGCATCAAGCACCCAGACGTGTGACATTACAGATTGTCGGCTAGACGGCCCTTGCCTCAGGTTCCCTTGAGGCTACAGCGTAGGAATCAGTGGTCCTTCAATGACGCACATGAATGCATCAAAGGCATGACGTTGTCTTTTCTCACTGTTCCCTGGTTTTGCTTACAGCATCATAATGCCTGTTGTGAAGGCACCAAGGCAAACGAAGGTTGAAGTTCGCATCCTGCATAATCATATCGTTACAGTACCTGGTTTGGTATTATGCATCATACACTTCTAGTTCGCATATCCGGTACTTTAACCAATCACCTTTACATTACTTAAGTTTTAATGCCCATGGCTATGCATTTTTGAAGTTTCCTACGTTTCCTCAATACAGAAGATGTTTGACTCCTGCCTTAATTGGCGCGATCTACAGATCTCTTACCAAAAGAAAACTACTGGTCAATATTTACAGAAAGACTGGCACGATAACATCCGCTAGTTAAAACAACAGATGAATTCTGGTGTAAAATTAAAGCTGCATGGATTGTAATATCTCAAAATGCCATCCAGTATCAATCCGACTCCATACCCAACTATTTATCAGCTTTTACTGTTGCAAGAAATTCCTTAGGGTACAGATTTCTACATGTTCTGTACCTCAGAAATCACTTGAAATTTTCATTGTTTCATCTTCCCATTATAATGTATTTTTAAAATAAATATAATTATGCTAACTGCTTTCCTTCATTATACAGAAATTTAATCGCCATCGGTGTTGTAACATTTATCTTGTTCCACTGATTAAGTAATTCTAAAAATTATTAAAATTAACAATAATTTTAATAAATAATAGTACAAACACAATCTGTGCAGATATTAGCATAGAAAAGGTGTTTGTAAAATTATAAATGATCTCTCCTAGTCTCGTACGAAATGTGTTTAATGTTCGCATATCCTAGCCACATTTAATCTAAGAAATGAATGGCGTATTTATTTATTATCCCTGATTTTTTTTTTTTTTACTACCAGTTTTGATTTTTTTAACAAAATGCTTAATGATTATTGAAGTTTTTTCTATTACAGGCAAGTTTTGAACACTCGGAACTTCAGGATGATAAAATGCTAGAGAGGGCTGAGGTACTTCAAACAATCATTTTTAATCTTTCCCATTGAGGACCAGGTTATTTAATTTCGATAACGCATACTAGTACTATCTACTAAAATCCATCTAAATTTTGACACCAGAGCACCCTTAGGACAATATTTGAGGGTCTTGTATCCTTCTTGCCCAACTACCAAGCTCTTAAAAGGATTTTAACAACAGGCCTCCATGCCGAAGTGATATTATGCAAACAAAATTGCACTGTCTGCAGACAAAATTATTTGAACTTACCTACGAGAATGAATGGTGTATTTGGACAGTGGTGCCGCACCTCAGGATACCATTTCGTAGCAATATTTTCATATGAACGATTATTATCCACACTGAAGCATAATAGAAAGCCGTCTGTCTGTGAAAATACAGTTATATCTTTACTCGTATATAATTAAAATCTTCGTTCGAAATTTCATTTCATATTATAAGATAAAATAATTACAAAGTGCTGATACTTTATAAAATAATTTCATATTTCCTTATCCTATTATAACTGCTAAGTACTTACACCTGGATAAGAAAGAGGTCTTAGCCTTTCATAATCTTCCTGTCCAGCCGTATCCCATAACGTTAAACTCACACGAACACCATCACATTCCACGCAATCGCCATAATTGTCAAACCTGAAGCAAGTAAAGGAGAAACAGACAAACATTATTTCGTTAATAATAAATTATATATTTCAAAAATTATAAAATACTTATCTTTAAAGTATTCATTTCAAGTAGATCATATTATTAAAATAATTCTTTCAGTTGGCCTGGCCGTTAGATATCAACAGAGTAATGTTTCGCATAAAGGGCATTCATTATAATTAAACTAGGCATACATAAATAAGCAGTGAGCGAAATGATGAAAAGACAAAACGAGAGACTTATAACCACAAGAAACGGAATGTGACACAAGAACTCTATAATATGAAACGTTGAAAAAAATTGCATTCTTCCTCTGCCGGTATCACTGCTGCTGATTACGAAATATATATCCACAAATAGTTTCATAGTATCGGTTATCATGGAAGAATTTCTGCCCACAAGCCACAAATCTGGAATGTAGAGGGCTGGAAAGTTGTTTGGAGAGATGAATCACACTTTACACTCTTCATGTTGGATTATTTTTCACCCGGCTGTTGATGGAACTCAGCCCATTGTTCTTCGAGTGGAAGTACACACTTTGTAATCCGACATTCTGGCCGATTTGGCTTCAGTATAATACGCTGCAAAACAGGCTATATACTTTTGAATCGAGCTCGCTGATACTCTGCAGAGTATACATAAAACTGATTTGACAACGAGTGAAACAGTTCCGACTGCTTCCTTGGAATCCTAAGCTTTCATTTCAGGAAATACCTATAACATGAATTGCAGCAACGGATACAAACTGGAGTATTTAGACTGCTGAATGTTACTGTGGAACATACTATTAGCAGAGGGAGCCTGAAAATAAATAATAGGACATGTAGGAATATGCTATTCAAAAACTATAATTAAATATGCTCAAACGAAGATTAGAGACCAAAATGTAGTTTTTCACCTCTCACTCCACCGAAAAAAAAAGGTATGTCAAAGTTAAAACTGGCTATGTTTCAAAGTTAGAGTAGTCTACAAACATTATAATTTCAGACTGTTCATGGTGATAAAGGAAATGATTGTATTTTGCTCAAAGGCAACCGAAGAAAAAGACTAAGAATAATTACAAAGGGTACTGATTTGGAGCATCAGAAAATATAATTTCAAAAACTGAGATTTCCTGAAAATTTAAAGGTCGATCATAAACTGAATAGTGAAATATTTAAATCTTTATGCAGGCAGAAATGGTTTCTTCAAGAAACGGTTTCTGATGTTAATTGCCAAACAGTCCAGACTGCTGTGAAATGTTTGACAAATGCATTTTTTTTTTTTTTTTTTTCAAAAAAGAGGTTTCCCTTATAGAATTTTTGAATAAAATTGAAAGTATTGAAATGATCATACAAGTAGAAGAAACTGTTAACAGAAGTGATACTGAAAGAGAGAGAGCTTATGAAGAAGCTAAAACTATTAAAGAGGTGGCAAAAAGTGCTGAAATTAAAACTTTCAATCAAGGAAATGCATGGCAAATTAAAAAAAACTTATTGAAATAAATTAATTATTCTTGGAATTTAAAATATGAAAAACTATATAAAATTGCTGACATTTTTAGTCCAAAGGGGCTTTGTCTCAGAAGGACTCTTGTTTTCGTTTTGCGATTATGCGTTAAAAATTTTGAAAGGTTGTATCACTTTTCAAATCGTTACCATCAAATACTATCGCCTGTATTATATTTGAAGAAATTAAATAATGAATAATCTGCATAAATGTATGTATGTTCCTCGCATTGTGATAAAACAACGGCACCTAGAGCTATCCAATTTTGAATAATGTAATCCTACTACGAATATGGGCATCTGAAACCCCAAATTTGAAATTTGGAATTTGCATTGTTATCAATTTCATATTTTATAAAACTTCAACGAATTTTTGATTAATAAACTCAAGGATTTCAAAGCGAGCGATGGCAACGTTGTACAGAAGAAAAAAAAAACATTTTTATCACTGAATATTATGGTTTTAGTGCGAAGAACTTGATATTTAATAAATAAAGGTAAAACACAAAATGTTAAAAAACCGCCCCATTTGGGAGGTAATTTAAAATCTGAAACCTTTCTGATTTTTAGTCGAAAGGAGTTTTGTCCCTGAAGGGCTATTGTTTTCGTTTTGCCATTTTGCGTTGAATCACTATAAATGTCCGTTTCACTTTTCAAACTGTTGCCACCAAATGTTAGAGTCTTGCATTATATTTGAAGAAATTAAATAATGAAAAATATGCATAAATGTATGTCTGTTTCTAGCATTGTGATAAAACAACGGTACAAAGAGCCATCGAATTTTGAATGACGTAATCCTCCTACGAATATGGGCAGGTAGAAGACCAAATTTGAAATTTGGAGTTTTTTTTATCAATTTCATATTTTGTAAAACTTTGACGAATTTTTTATTAACAAACTCAAGGATTTCAAGGCGAGCAATGGCAACGCTTTTACGGGAGGGGACCTTTTTATCTCCAGCACGCGGAACTGTGTATCGGAAATTCTAAATATATACTAATTTTAAAATTATTTTGCGACATTGCTATTGAACTCAATTTTACGGTTCAAGTGCAAAGAACATGATATTTAATAAATAAAGGTAACACACGAAACTTTTTTTGTTTTATTTTTATGATTTTAAGGGTCCCCCCCCCCGTTATTCTTTACGCTGGCTTTCTCTCATTTGAAAAGGTGATGCAAAGTTTAGTTATGCAACTCTTAACAGTTCTGATTTTTAATGCTCTTGTTTAGTGAGGGCTATTTTTTACCTTAGCAGATTGTTTTCCAGGTTGCCCTGTTACAGACCGTGAGCTGACAGAATTTAATAATAAGTTTGAATCTGACGTGCAGTAGTTGGATAATTACCAGATATCTATTTGATTTTGGAAACAGAACTTCACGAGTTAAGCGTATTTCATTTTTTTAATGTAACTTAACTATACAAAAACACATATCATACCAAAGAAATATTAGGGAGTACTGCTCTAGAGGCAATACTGCAAAGACATTCAAGACTCCCCAAGGATGTACAACAACACGTAGAAACAATCAGCCAGATGGGAAAGACATGTACTATGCAATGGATACCTGCAATATATTGGAATCGATGCAAACGAGGCAGCCGATGAACTGGCTAAAAAGGCAAGATCAAAGATAAATCTATTAAGAAAAGACCATCAGATATGTGAGACTGATGCAAAGAGAGAAATCATAAGGATCATTACTAGATTTAAACCCGCCATTTTGAAGGAATGAAAATTAATGAAGATGATACTAAATCATATAGAACTTGTAAAAACTGTCCCGAAACGCAGCTTTCTCCAAAACACATCTTCACCTATCCAGCAATACTTGCAGCTTTGCAAAGCTCGGGGGAATTTTCTTTCCAGGAAGAGCTGTATAGTGGATGTATAGTGGAACTGGCAAATGCAGTGATTTCCATGCATGGATTTCTCAAAGGACACGACACTAACCAACCAACCAAATAAGTTGTTATTAGATAATTTGCTTTCTCACTTATCATTCTTTTGCAGGAGCTAATTCATGATAATATTCTGTGTTATTTAAGCTAGGGCATTAGATTTTACAGCTAATGAAATGTTTCAGGATTTTCTCTTACATACAGGAGTTATAAATGCAAGAATATTTTGGGACTTGCAATACGCAAGAGTTATAAATGTCCCAAAATAAGTTAATTATAAAGAAAAAAAACTATATAATTGAAATATTTTTACAGCACATGAACGTTTATATTTTCAGTAAGTTTATAATTTTTTTAAAGTTTGTATTGCACATTATGATACAGCATGTGCATCCCCGGGACCTGGAACGAATAATTTGTTCAGAAACCAAAAGACACGCATGGTGCATCTTTTCAGGGTTAAAACAAAAATGTAAACAATTCTTTTTTAACAACTGATCTGTCATTTCTCGTATTTTTCAACACAATTTTAAAAGAAAATTCAGCGAAACTGGATATAAAGGTATTTACGTGTGAATATTATTACCTAGGATGATAAAAGACCATTAAATTAAAAAAAAGATCCTATATTGAAAAATGTAGAATATAGTTTTAGAACATCTTTTATTAACAACATTATTACAATAATGTTGCAAATTTTCCTAAAATTATCAATTAGCTATATTTTAAATTACATCAATTAGATATTTTATTAAAAATTAAACATTCAGTTCTGAGGTACGTATTGTAGGCCGTTAGAAAATCTTTTATTAATTACAGTAATGCACCACCTGCTCTGAAATTATCAGTGCTATATATTATAAATCAAATATACTTTTATTCATATCATATGGATATACTATTAAAACTTAAATAAAGTTTTAAATTATGAATTAATGCATTTATTAATTAAATCGCTCATTTTGTTTGAGTAATACAATACGCCTTGTTGGCGCGATAGTAGAAAAGCCCGGCTGCCACAGCTTTGAGTCCGGGTTTGAATCCCGGAGAAGTCATGGATGTTTGTAAGTAGTATATGGCATCTTTGCAGTATGATTGATACTGTCAAGCCTATCAGGAGAATGGTGGTTAGGGAAGAAGTTGTAGGAGATGCTCGGATTCATTCCTCGCCGGGCTCTCCATCAAAACTGGGACGAAACTGGACAAAAATCGAACTGTCATCTGTAAAGTGCCCGAGGTCAAGATTAATGATAGATGCTTACTACCTCTCATGATGAATTGATAGACCTGATCAAGATCCTTTAAGATCAAAAGGCTAAGAAGTAACATCACCACAAGTGAAATTTGAAAGATAAATTAAAAGTTCTTATAGCACATCGAAAGGTAACACTCTAAGAACCTGGCTGTTTGTGAAGCGTGGAAGATGATCTCTGTTTCGTGCAATGACAATACTTGCCACGTCATGTGATATAAACATCTTAATGTAATGCAACAGCCTAACATCAAAAGACTCCTGGAATCATCTCATACTGAGATCCTGATTAAGATTATGATGCACTTTTCAAAAGTCGAAAGCGGTATGAACAGCAAGTACATCTATAACATATGTCATACATTAAAAAAATTAAATTATCATACATTAAAAAAATACATTAAATTATCACTAAACATGAAAACTCTCTAAATAAGTACAGTCATTTTTTAACTTACACTGTGGGGACATATTCTCCTTCCGGAAAACTACCAGTTGTGTAGACTATTAACAAACAGGTCTTTCCAACTGTTCCGTCACCAACGACAACCAGTTTTATCGGCCTGTTGAGTTGGGACATCACACGTAACCTATAAAAATGGATTAATTTATAACTTTATACAAAAGTTACGTAAGTAGTTTCATTGAAAGTCGTTTTATTATTATATATTTTATTATTACTATATATATTACCTCCACAACCCATCTCCTTTGAGTATACTTCAGTCGGAAAGTCTAAAATTCTAAAATTTGGGTTTAACAGAGGAAAAAAATTCACATTCTGTTTTAGTTTAATGGGCATCTATTTAACTTTTTTTAAAAATTATATGCTTTAATTTTTTTAAATAAGTGATGAATTCTAGATTGCCCTTATGAAATCTTAATGCACTAACTGCTAGAAATTAAAAGCGCAAAAATAAGATATTTAAATTTTATATTGTATTGTGACCAAATCCACAATTACAGACTAGTCGCACAGAGTAAAAGCTATTTTTAGGCACTTACAAAGTGGCATAGGGATAAAAAAGACCAAAATTTAGTAAATAATAACAAAACATTTCCACTAAAGTCTCTTTATTTTTGATTATTTATTTATCGAACACAAATTTCTTTCTTTTATGAGAAATTTTAAGCGGACGCAGTTCGTTATCCTGCGCTTGATAACATCCAACCACTAATTACTAAAAGCAAAAAGCCGCTGAAATGAGAATCGTATAAAATGTGGCTCCCACCCCCCCAAAAAAACAACTTGGGACTCCACCCGACGTAATTGCGTATAATGGTCTGCTCAGGTCCAATACAATGAAAATGAGAGAACACTCTAAAAAGGGCGGAAACACTTGCTCCTGAAGCCATCCATACAAAGACCAACGCCTCCACAATGAAGATTACTGAAAGAAATAATCGGGAAGTCATAAAAAAAGCTAAAAAAGTATCAAAGTACTCGTGGACAAACAAGAGCAGCAACACATCAACCATTGTTGGTTTAGAAAAAAAATTGTAAATAAAAAAAAGCCTATGCGCTCTTCTGTTGCCACTTAAAGTGACACCTTAACCACTCAATAAAAAGTAAAATACACACAAATGTACACTCATACAAAGAGAAAAAGTAGTAGTGTTTTTTTTTTTTTGTTTTGTTTTGTTTTTTGGGCATTTACAACAGAATGAAGAACAATAATATAGAGAAAAAATTTGAAATTCCACTGAAATGTATGTTCTGTTGCCCTTGGCTGCCAGCTTGGACAACTTTGTGATACATGGATGTATTCTAATCACAAAGTTCGTTTGGTCGCAAAGCTAGATAGATTGTGGTTCATTAATATACATATCTATATTAAAACACCGCGATGGGTATTCTCTAAAATGCAATATAACAGACTGCATTTATCAAAATTAATGGGCGAAGAGCAATAACGTATAATAAATACTCTTTTTTCATTTAAAGATGAGTTATAAGAATAATTTTCAGGAATTAAAAACAGAAAAAATATTTTTTAAACACATTTTTAGCTCAAAGGGGCAATTTGTCCAGAAAGGCTATTAATTTCGCTTTGGCATTTTGCGTCTTCCATAGGCGTTTCACTTTTCGAATTGTTGATACCAAATATTAGAACCCTATCGTAAAGATTGTACAGCATGGATGTTAATAATAATATTAGCATGGATACTAATAATATGTTCCATAGTTTAATACTGCGTCTTATTTGCTCCTGAATTCATACCAAACCATCTTTTATGATCTTTTTGACAAAAGTTTCATATTTCAGCATAGGATCTAAACATATCACCTACTTATGCTACAAAAGAGTCATTTACCTCTAAACAGGGGTTCTCAATCGAGGGGGAGGATTCAGTCAGCCTTTTATTTAGGTGTTAAATAATTAGTTCTAGTTTATGAATAAAAAAACAATATTTATTCAAGTTTGAATATTTATTAAACTTTCTATTATTTTTATTGTATAATTTGTAAAACGCGTTAGAAAATTAACTAAACTAAATGTATAACATATATATTCCTATGGGAAAAATAGTTTCGATATAAGAATATTTCGAATTACGACAAATTTGTGATGAAAGCGATAATTCACTGTAATTTAAAAAGTGACTAGTTTTTCGCCGTATTATTTTACTCCACCATTTCGATTATGCAAAGATCTTTAAGCAACGCTTTAACTGTAAACACAAAATAATACCCCCGCTATGCTTTAAAAAAATTAAATGCAGGGTCCAGGTATATTGAAGGAAGGACCTGAATATATTATTCAAATACGCATCAAGTGCAATTTATAGCTTTATTTTTTTAAATAAAACAGGCAGCCTTGATTGCTTTTTAACTGTAGTTAGTCCATACGAAAATATGAGCAAAATGTGAAATTAACGCATTTTGAAGAATTTATGTTCTCGAATTCTCTCTTTATAGTACATGCGTGATGTAGAATGTGCAATGAAGGAAGCCTTACAATTAATAAATCTGATACATATTTTGCGCAACATTTTAAAAGTCATTCAAAGTCACACGCATTGATTCTCGACCGAGCCAAAAATTTCGCAGTTTTGGCAGGGATTTTGTTCATTCTCAGATTATTAGACTAGAAATCTGCAAGAAGACACTCGCAGCAGAAACCGTCTACGGCACAGTTAAAATCACGTAACCCTCGAGGCGTCTACTTTCAGTGCAGAGAATCAAACAGAAAGGCTTTTTTTTTTTTTTTTTTTTTTGGCTTATGTGCATTAAAAATATGACAGCAACCTACATATTAATAAATATATAAATAACATTTTTATGATTTTAATGTAATAAACCTTAAACTCCCATTTACTCCTTAGTACACTGTTATAAATTAGTTTCAGTTTTTATATCATTTGATGCAGTGTTTGTATGGGGAAAAAAATCTTTGAAAGATAATATTCCGCCACATGGTGAGAATAGAGAAATACAGGAAAAAAACTGACTAAAAAAATAAATTCTTAAAACTCATTTACAACCATTTGAAAATACTGCAATGAATTTAAAAACTCTTACAAACGTATAACTATAACCTCCCCGCACTTGAATAACAAATAAATCTAAGATGTTATGAAACCATTACGGAAGAAGCAAGGGGAAGAAAGTCATAGACAATTCATACGGATTCAAATGAATACCTCGTCACATTACTGCACTCATTATTACACTTTAGCTCCTTTTCATAACTAAATTACTATGTTCAAGGCTTCTGTTTTTATTTTACATCACTCAGAAGAAAATGAACTTCTGTTTGAATGCTGCTATATGCTGACCACTCTATACGATCTTTAATTTTATCAAAAAGCTTTAACCTCATCTTTATATATCTCAGTTACAGCATAAGTAACATTTTTTTTTCAACAGCCGCAAGAGAGCAACACTAAAGACGTTCCATCTTCTTCCAAAATGCTATATTGCGCAAAATGATATACATTACAGTTAACTTACAGCAAACTCTTACAAAACCAGTAATCAATTCTCATCGGCACGAAGAGAAAAATAACTTAATAAAAAATGTGGTTTAACGTGATAGAAACTGATAAAGATTGATCATGATTGATCACGAAATTTAACTTTTCAACACTAAAGCGTGACAATCCAAGGATAATTTTCATACGTAGGGTGAAGCCAGGATAGATGATCAGTAGCTTTAACACCAAATAAATTAACTTACCCAAAAACGATCTAAATAAATAGATTTAAAAGAAATCGATGACCCATATTTTTCCTTCAACATCGCACATGACGAAATTTTTTATGTAATCTTAATGCAATTGACAATTATTTCTCTAATAGAGAAAAAAGGATAAAATAATTACAGTAAACCCTTGTCAAAAGCGGAGTAAATTAACACAGTAATAAATACAGTAAACCCTTGCCAAATTAAAAATCGCGTCTTGTAGAGTTAACTTTCGATGAAAAATGTATTAAGTTGAATTTAGATTAAGCAAGTCGGTATAATTTATACAAACCTAATACCGTTGTAATTAAAAGAGAAAATAAAATGAAACAAATGTTAAGCGAAAGGATTTTCATTACTGCTTATTAATAATAAATATATAAATTTTTAATGATGGTGACGTTTTCTTATTAATAATAAATATAATTATTATTAATATTAATTATTAGTATCACAATAAATATATTTATTATTAATAAGCAAACGTCACCAGCATTTAAAAAAAATGAATCAAATTTTTTTTAAATGCTGGTGACGTCTGTTTAAACACTGACTTCTATCAAAGTTTCGTGGTAAGTACAGGAAGGTTTTCACTGCTTACGTGTATTCATTCTTTCTTCGCTTGGGTTAATTAATATGCACTGCAAAATTAGACAATTGCCAAGGCCGTTCCTAGCGGGGGGGGGTGCAGCGCCTAAAATTACGTGGGCGGCCAAAATTAGGTGCCACCCGACTCTCGCGATACTACGACTAAATATTTTAAAGTCATTAAATTTATTGTAAGCCCTTTTTGTACAATTTGTCATGTGTAAGTACTTAGTGAGTATGAAATAAAAATTTTATCTATCACTGAGCCATTTTTTTAAATTTGGGGGCGGAAATCTTGGGAAAGTACGCGGACAGCTAATGGCCTAGAAACGGCAATGACAGTTGCTGTGCCTTTTTTAACAAATCATCCAAATAGTCCATTTAACTCCTTGTAGGTTCAAAGTGCTGTAACTTCTTTATTATCGCTTCTTACACTGTAGGCTGATTTATTAAGATCATTCGATTCTTTATTCGTCACTTCTCGATTAATTCAATCAAATACGTATAAGGGATATCGCGCTCCGCAAATTCGTGTTTAGCAAGGTTTAACTGCATAGTGATAGAGAGTACTTTTCCTCATTCTGAAGTGCTCTCATTGCGACCCCCCTCCTGAAAAAAAAAAAGAATGTGTAAAAGAAAAGAAAAAAAAAAAAAAAAAAAAGGAAAAAACAAAAGTACAGAACTCTGCTTATCTCTTTAAACCAGATAAGACAACAAACAATTCACATGATTTTAAAGGCTTGTTAAACATTCTTTAACACTAAAGTATTAATGAGCGCGAGCTACTGGTGAATTTGCTTCTGAAGAAGAAAGAG